AGATACTGATTTAGTTTGAATGTGGCGAATGTTTTGTCAATGTCAGTTGCGAAATTGGCTATTTTCTCCCAATGCAAGTGGTACGCAACAAATATCCTGTTTAAGGTTGCTGCATATTATTTTTGCTATCTGGCATATTAAAGACTTTCACTTAATCATCTGTTAAATTGCAGAATAATGCGCCATTCTAACAGTATGTAGACCCACATCATCTAATATTTTTCCTTTTTCCTGATACTTTAATGTTCATGATTTGGTCACATAGTGCGCAATTCAGGGAGCAAAACCATGCTGGATTATGACACATGCAAATCCCTCCTGGCTCAATGAACAGTAAACTTTATCTTGGACAATTGAGATTAAATTCTAGATTAAATGATTTCCATAACAATGCTCCTTCAAAGTACTTTTATGATTTATGAATTTGTTGATCACATATTTCAGAAGTTCATATTCTCAGATAGCTCATTGTTATGCATTGCTGGTGCAAAATTATCTTTGCAAACCATACTTTTTATTTGTAAATTCAAATCATATTTTTGTAAAACAGTGCCTGTTATGTCAGAAGGATATTTCTGGTTAAAGATGCTTTAGTCCAGTTTGAAACAGCACTTAGTTTAGATCCAAAGTCCAAACCCTGTAGAAGCCCAAGCTGCTTTCTATAACAAAGCCTGCTGTCATGGCTATTGGTAAGGATTTCTGATGCTTTTTCCTCCTTTGTTTAGTAGTTAGAATTTCAAATCACCATGCATGATTTTGGTAATTCCTATGTACTTTAGGAAAGAGATGGATTGCCAAACTCCCTTCCAGCTGCACCTGTAAAGTATAGCTTATGTGTAGTACTCCGAATTACATACTCTTATTATATGAATTGATACGCTATCTATCTGCTAAATTCCCTCAATTCCTCTTATATGAAATCCCTCCTTTCATAGGTATATAATAGAAGGTTTTTGGAATCCGATTTGGCATATTACTGCCATGTGGTATTTTTTTCTTACATGGCATGGCACGTGGCACACCTAACGGCTCCATCTCTTTTCAGCTAAAATGGGGTCAAATTGACCTGAAGTACTGCATTAATCTCAAGTTATGATTTGTTACTGAATGGGGCTGCACTTACTAACAATCTTTATTTTATCAAGGAAGAGGGGAAGCGAAGAAAGCTGCTGACTGTCCCAGTATTGCTTTGAGAGACTACAAGCTCAAGTTCGGTACAATTCTAAATGATCCTGATCTGGCCTCCCTTAGAGCATCGCTGAGTTCAAGGAATTGCAAGAAGACATTTAGTGCTTAAGTTTTCTTCCAGCCGTTCCTCTTTCTCAATCTCCACCAAGATATCCTAACTGCAACAGCCATGGAATCAAATGAAAGTAATTCATCCACATGAGGATCAAATTACTAAATGTTGGTATTGCAGCTATTGCTCATAATTATTTGTTATCTTTCCAGGCAAGGCTTGGTGGAAAAGATATAGGTTACACTTTTCAAAGAGATCTCAAACTTATCACAGTGAAGTCCAGGCCCCATTTTGGGGGGCGGGGGCTTAGGAGATTCTTTTATGTGGCGTTCTCTGCAGCTGCTGGAATTTCACTGTACCCAGGCTATTTCGTGTTATTAAAGGCGGTGATGGTGCTCCTAATTTTTTGGAAACTGCCAGCAATGCTGCCATGAATATTGGAGGTAAATTAGGAGGTAAGTATGTTAGATATATGTGTGTTATTTGATGAGTTAATCTCTGTTTTTTTTATTTTATTTGAATTTGTTGGTGTGACCATCAATCTAATAGTTTGTAACCAGCTTTTTAAAATGACTAAGTTTTTGAATCAGCTATCTACAGGTATCATTGTTCTTGTGGCATTCTTTTTCTGGGACAACAAGAAGAAGGAAGAGCAACTTGCACAAATATCCCGAGATGAAACTCTCTCTAGGTTGCCCTCGCACCTTTCCACCAATTGGGTTGTTGAACTTGTGTAGCTACAAACACTGTTAGGCCAGTTAGTATTAAACTGTCAATTTTTTTTTAATAGTTCTTCCAAGTTCTTGCTGCTCCATGATTGCAAACTTCAGATTGATCGTTACAAATATTATGCCTGCATTGTCACTGTAAAAGTATAGTCTTCAAGAATAATGTTGCCGACCATAAACAATTAAGAATTCTTCTCATTTCAATCACAAGATAAAATTAGATTTCTTGTAGTGATTTTAAGTAAATACACTTGACACATTTCCACAGTAATCAAAGGATTAAAATTTAAGCTTATAGTTAATAAATGAAATAGAACAGCTACCTGTCTTAGCTCTTTGTGTTTCTTTAATGGTACTTAAGTGCATTGTGGACACTCCTGTGAACATCTGTGACCATAACTAGTTCTGTTCTGTTTTCTGTTTCTACATTATTTTTAGTGAATGCTACTGCTTGGGGTGGGGATAGAGACAAAGAGGAGAGCATAGGAGGAAAAAACCAAGACTTATACCATTAGATCAAAAGTCGTCTAAACTTACTATAGAAAGGTACATTAATATTTACTACTTTGGTTGAGTGTAGATACATCTTAATGCACTGCTAGTTGTATGTTAGCTTGCATGCTGATGCATTTTTTTATGCTTGCCCTTATCTATATGGTTTTTGTCATCACATTCTAATTGAAGGTTGGATTCAGGGAAAAAAAAGAATCTGTTTCCTTGGCTATACAAAAAGCAGAGAGATTTCGAACTGAGCTCCTCAGATGAGGTGTTCTTCTAGCTCCTGTCATTTGGGGTGAAGGTAGAAGTAGAACACCGCAAGTGGAGAAGAAAGGTTTTGGTGTTTCTCTGAAGGCAGCTGCTGCACTTCCTTCTATTGGGGTAAAATACAGGTTTCTAACCTACAGTAGATTAGTAGCCATACAAGGATAATTTTTGTTCACTGATGACATTATCATCATTTGTATAGTTATGAAGACTTCTTAGATGCTTAATTTGTGCCATACATGCTCAGGTGTACTTGTGCCGGTATGCCATATATACCTGGGGTTGCTGTCTTGTTGCAACCGATTCTACATGGAATTTTAAGTTGTGAAAGATTAAACACATGCACTAGGTTGGTTTTTTATTAAATTGCTTTCTTGAAACTTTTTATGTATTGCTGTCGTGGCAGGAAGACTTCCAGAAACAAGCTCAGTCTATAACTGCAAAATCAAAGTTGAAAGCTGAAATTCAATTTTTAAGGCTAAGATTGTATCACCGGAAGAACGGGAGAGGTCACCTCCTACTCTCTCTCTCTCTCTATATATATGTATATATATATTATATTACTGTTTATCCTTGTTTTAGCATATAGAAAACAAAGGTTTTTCAATAATGTATCTCGATCAGGTCAGAAAAGTTTGTGTCTTTACAAACTGTTTCCAAACATTAATTACATTTCCAATTATCAGTGATAGGCTCAAATTTGTCAATGAACATCTTTTCTTTTGTTAGCTTTTATTTTTTCTTTTAATCTTTTAACTAACTATTCTTACTTAGGTGGATCAGAGATCAAGAAAAGTCTGAAGGAGTTACACCCGGTGAAGATGTGTACATAATTTTGCACCTAGATGGTCAAGTTCGAAGATCAGGAAAAAGTAAGAACACATGTTGGAAACTTGTGTTAGTTCCTCCTCTTGGACTGAGATAATTGCAAATACAATTATCAGTGAGTCATGACATTAATTTAGGAAGGTTATAACTGGTTACTGATTTTTGTTGCTCAAAATTTTGGAATTCATGCTCACACTTTAAAGCATTAATTGGCTTTCCACCAACTTTCTTTTCTCATAAGGCTGTTAAATGAATCAATCTTGTAAACCTCCTTAGTTATCAGTTGTAAGTGCTTTGGGTCAGATGAATTTATGAACATCGACTCTAAAGTAGAAAAAATTCTATACTTCATGACATACCAGGTAGTTGATGTGATTCAGTTGCAAACTAAACTATATATTTTCCATCTTAAGTTTCAAATACCAGTAATGCAATATTGGAACTTTTTTCTTCATTATCATGATAAATTTCCTTGTTTGCAGGGAATGCCTTATTGGTCACAAATAGTGAAGGAGCTGCCACCAATGGAAGCATTGCTAAGCAAACTAGATATTCTAAGAGGGGACAAGATTGCGTGGCTGATGGTAGTCTTTCTTCTTGTCTGATTATTCATTCTTTAGACAACCAATTTTTTTGTCATGGTTCTTTTACACAGCAGGTATTATTGCTTTGTAAATTAGACCATACAAAATTTTGAATACTATAGAAATTAGTTTTGGTCTGGTTATGTAATTCACCTATTATTTCACTACTTTTGAGTTTTAACAATGTTTGATCCTTACCCATTTTTCTTTTTTTTCTCTTTTAAGAGTGTAGGAGGTTGCCTAACCAAGCACGCTGTTTCTTTTTTTTTTTTATATGCAATAATGACCTAACCAAGCAGTTGTTATGATTTGGATGCGCTAACCAGAATAAAGAAAAAGACATTTCTTTCCCTCTTTGTCTAGATTATAGACTTATCAGGCCGAGTGACCGCTCCTGCCTTCATGGGATTGGATGATCAGATTCAGGTTATAGTTTTCAATTCATTCTCTTTTATTGTAGTACTTTCCCTTTGTCTGTATTGAACACTTGAACGCCAGGATACCCATACCCCGATTTATAGTTCCAATGCTTTCTGGGCGCCAGGATTTTCAACAGTTTCCGCTTGTTTCCACTGCTAATAATTTGCTGTTTTTTAGCATGTTCTCAAATTTTTGGAGCTCAAATTTATCATCTTCTTGGCTTCTTGGCAAGATGAATACACCTGTTAATACCACTGTCTAAATTTGACTATGTCCTACTGTTAAACGTTAGACACAAAATAAAAGTATGGAATAGCTGGAAGTTGCCTTTCACCTTTTGGTTTAGTGATTAAAAAAGCTTTAAAAAAGACGTGTGGACATGAGTTATACGCCATCCCCTTTTCGCAACACCCTCCTTTGAACCAAAAAAAAAAAAAAAGAATAGCTGGAAGTTACATCTACATAGAACGATGCGGGCTATAGAGAATTGAAAGAGCCAAGAACGGGTTAAGGTTGGGATCTTGAGGCACATGTGCTGCGCTTGCTTCTAAGAATCTGATAAGATTAAACTAATTATTTCATATTTGTTTAAGCCTTTAACCCGAGTCAAACGCATCTTTTTATGCTTATCTTTCTCAAGTACTTTTCTTATGCAGGAGAGTAATTAAAGAATCCATTAGTATTTCTCAAGTATATTTATCTTGATCACTGATCTTCAAAAGTTTGAACCCTGTGTAGCCTCTTAAAACCTCAGACCAAACACCCTGAATAGACCACCCGTCAGCTTATGTAGGAGAAATTGGTGTCCCTAAAATGCGGTGATCAAATTCTAGGATTTCACATTCAACTTGACAGCACATTTTTGCCTGTATTATAGGCCACTGGACTGGCTCTAAGCTATCTAGAAAGCCTCACCGCCTATCTGGAATTCACAACTCAAATCAACAAAGAAAAAGCTAACGACGTTGGAAAATGGATCTACCCAGGAATTTCAACGGATTATCTTTTGTTTTAAAACTCTTGTTTTCCGGTTTTCACATTACCAATTGTGTCATTTTCTTGCATTAGGTTTTGAAGAGGTCATAACACTCACAACGATTCCAAAAACTTTTAAAATAGCTATCCAGGCGTGTTTGAACTTGTAAAAGAGTCGTTGAACTAATGAGTTTTACTTTATCAAAGAATTAAACGAGTACCCATATCTCTAAAAACATTTCTTTTTTCTTCCATTGTTGGGTTAGGTTGTGCTCTTATTGTTATTCTGATTATTTTTTGTCGTTATTATTGTTAGCAGACATGGGATTAGGACAGGCAAACTAGCGAGGCTGTTGGACGAACTAGGATTTCAGCCAATTCAATTATATATGCCTCCCCAATCGGTCAACCAATTGCCTCCTGGGTGGGCTTAGACGACTTCAACCATCATTATCTCCATATTTACAAAACTACCAAGGATTCATGTAATTTATGTCTGTCCAAAGCTACTAATAAGCAACAGCCCAAACAAAAGAAAAAGAAAAAAGACATGGCTAATCCCTCTGGTTTTCTCCTGGCCGTTTCATTAGTCCTCACAACTCTGATCATCACCTTGTCGACCGTCAATGCAAGTGGTGAGCACCACTTGAGCTGGTTTCCTACCAAGGCTGGCTGCCAGGGCTCGATGGCTGACTGCATCGCTAATAATGAGTTTGACATGGACTCCGAGATTAACAGGCGCATATTGCAAACCACGCAGTACATAAGTTACGGAGCTCTGCAGAGGAACACCGTGCCATGCTCTCTAAGGGGTGCGTCCTACTATAACTGTCAGCCAGGAGCACAAGCTAATCCTTACAACCGAGGCTGCAGCGCTATTACTCGTTGCCGTAGTTAAGGTTATTCTCCCTCCTTTTTTTTATGTGTCGTTTGTTTCTCATTCGTAAGATGGAAATATATGTTGTTGAAGAAATTTCCAATTATGTTATCATTAAGTCTTTTGTGTTTCATTGTCTTTTAATTTGCTGATTTAGAATTTTATCTTCAAGTTTCAATCAGTTTTAGTTCAGTTATAGAAGATAGATTGATCAGACGTTACGGTTTATTTGGGAGGAGATTCTGGTCAACCCTGTTTGTTGACTCCAACACGCAATGGCAAATTATGAACCAGGCATGAAAAGGAAGACATGAAAATAACATCACCTAAAACACCGAGGTAACACGTAAATAGTAAATAGTAAATATTATGATTATAGACACTGAGAATGATCGTTTATCAACTAATGAAAGGGCGAACAAACATGAATTGAACTTGGTACTTTTTTAACCAGCTCAATCATAACCAACTTTGAAAGACAACTTTAGTCATCATCTCTTAAGTTCATATAGCATTTCAAAGTACTAAAATTGATATATTTGTGATTGTCCACACCGATTAAAGATTAGGGTTAACAGCAGCTCAACCAGAAGGATAGTTGACAAAGCCGTTAACTGCATATCAACTTGTCAAGCTTAATGAACAAACGTTAATTGTATCTGCTATTGCACATAGGTAGAGCAAAATATTAACAACAAACCACCTCACATTCATTAATTCCCTCTATAAATTGCCAAACAACCAGTGCATCTATAGGTGTTGAAAGCAGATAATTCTTTCTCCCAGATCACAGAAGAAATACTTAGTACAAATAAAAATGGAAAAGGGGGCCATGCAGTAATGCCCCTAATCTCCTGCCAGTAGTAGTCTCAAATAAAACAAGTTATCACCAATTACAATCATAACCAGCTGCTAAAAACAATCTTTGGCCAGGTTTTATGCTGAGCCTTCATCTTGCTTTGATTCATCCGACTTTTGCTTTGATGAGGCTAAAGGGGATGGAGAGCCCTCCACTCCCATCTCCGCTTTTAGGTCATTGATGCTCTGCTCCAGCTCATTTATACGGTTTCCCATTTCATCAAGTGCTTTGGAGTTAAGTAAACAATAGATATCCCACACTTCACAACAATACTAAACTAACTAACTATTTCCTTTTAAAGTAATGCTATAATACTGCAAAACATAACAAAGTTTCAAACTTCTTCAAATCTAGCCAGCGAAACAGTTATCAGATACAGGTTCAAACCACTGTCTCACAAAGCTTCTTAGCCTTATAGTCCAAGATTTCCCAATAGGTTGACAAATATAAAACTAAAGTATCAACTACTTAGACAATTCAACCTATTTATGTAACAATAAAATGAAAAAGCTCAAGAAAGAAAAATAGACAAATATTTTTACGAAGCGTATCATTTACGACAAACCATTTACTTCATACATGAAGCAACTCGACAACATTTCATATGTTTGACAATATTTCTATCTTATGAAAAAAAACATGTTTCAATGAAATTTAAGAATATAAGAAAAGGATATTCTTTGTGATAATGGAATCAGACATTGTTTGAAACCTGGATTGCTGCAAACAAAATCTTTGTCAATAACTGAAATATATTCCACCAACAGAGGTTCCACTTATAACACTCACCATTTGTTGAAGAAGGTTTTGCACCTGCATAAAGCACTCAAGGAAATCATTAACTAAATAATTATAAGAAAGGCACATCAACAACCGCAGCAAATAATTACTGAATTATACTCATTAGAGACTAGGGCCATCAACAACTTTGCAACTTAAGTTGAGACTATATCAAAATTAGCAGTAGTGATGCCCTTATGGTACTAGCAAAACAGCATACATTGAAAGTGGTTATTATTCATGTTATAAGACAGGGTTGAGGAACTCACAAAAACAGTCATATCAGCAGTGCTTTGCTTTGACTCTTCCGAATTATGCCCGTCCTGTAAAAACATATTCCAGCCAGCCCATACCACACAGCATTAGCATATGGCCTGATACACAATACTAAATCCTACTTCAGATTGTTTAACACTAAGAATGTGGTTCATCAAATCGTCAAATACCTCGAAACTATAATCCTCTAACCGACTTAAAACAAATCATCAAGTTCCTTTTTTTTTTTTTGAAAAAAAAAAGAACTTGAGTGGAAATTGCATAGGAATTATGAAAAATCTCAAGAAGACAAAGAAATTGTATGTCATTGAATAAAAGGATTGGGTCTCAAAACAAGTAAAACCCTAATAAACGTCAAAAAACCTGCGCTAACGTTCATAATAAGGCCAGAAAGTAAAACCCTAACGCCAGCATTGCAAGCACAACCAATTTCAATTGAAAAATACAAAATTTTAAAAATAAAAAATCAAACGAGATATGAACCAGAGAAGCATAATTGTTAAAAAAACCCATAAAGATTTACGAATTTTTAGAGAAAACGGATCAAAAACAAGTCGAAAAGAACGCTCTTTATAGCAAATCCTTTAAAAACCGTGATACGACTTTAGAATCCAAGATTATCAGTTCTAAAGTTTAGATAGAGCTTACCATAGTTTGGCAGTGGATCTCGGGTAGTTCGTCCTGCTCCTCAGTTGCAAACCGTTCCTTCAATTCGAAAAATTGGAAGCGTTTGAGTGAAATCAGAGATCGTCGCTGCTTATTTTAAAGGCGGATGGTTGCGTTCCTTTTTCATCCCGGCCTACACCTTTTATTTACCCATATGCCACTATCTCTTCAACTTTTTTTTTTTTTTAAATAGAATTGAGCTCTATGATTTCGATAATAATTTCTTTAAGCTTTGGTTGGTGTTTTTATTTTTAATTTTTTAATAAAAAATAAAAAAATAAAAAGAATTAAAAATAATCAGCAAATAATAAATGTAAAAGCACTATTGAAACGGAGTCTAAATTTTTTTTCTTTATCATATCTTTTAATTTTACGGTTATTATTTTATATTTATTGATAATCTTTTTGAATTTTACAAATAAAATTAAAATATAATAACATGTCTCGTTATTTATTATATTGTTTTATTAAAATTTTAAAATATTCTCTAACAAGATATATTATGTGATAACTCTATAACCTCGTTTTCTGAAGTGTAAAAATTAGAAAAAAAAATTATAAAGGTTACCAAAAACACTATCAAGGTGACAAAAATTATTACAAAAATTATAAAAAATATTACAAAAATTATCAAAATATTCAAATTATGATGTCACATAATCAGTTATGTGACCATGAATTATCTGTTGGTACATAGGTTAATAGTAGTTTACATTAATATAAATTAAAAAAATAAACTTATTTGAATACAATCAAAATATAAATTCGTATTTAAAAAAATTAAAATATATAGAAATTTTTAGTATATTAGCCTAAGAAAAAGTAAAACAAAGCCATATATTTAGCTGATTAATTGTCATGAATTTTTTTTAAGTTAAATAATAGTAATTGAATAACCCTTCATCAGAGTAAGCCCCTTTTTGAAGCAATTGAAGCACCGATGAGGTGCAATTGCCATGGCTCGTTAGAGCCTTTTTTTCCCAAATGATCCAATGGTGTGGTTGATAAAATATTAGTCATCAATTGACCATATTTTATTCAATTGATGACCGGTCACTGATTTCCTTTTTTTTTTCTTTTCAATTTTATTCTTTAAATTATTTTGTTATATCAAAAATATCTTTATGATTTTTTTTATTTTGATTTTTTATTTAAAATTTTGAAAATATATTTGTTACTTTAATATTATAAAGAAAATTTATTACTTATTAATAAATTTATTATTTATTAGCAACTATTATATAATAATTAAATTTTATAAATATTAAATAATTTAAACTTTCAATTATATACATATTTTAATTTAATATATTTAATAATCAATTTATTTTTTAATTATAAATCATTTTACTATTACTAGTATTTTTATTTTAAAACACATATTCAATTATTAATTTTAATCTTATAATTACAATAATCAATCCTATTTTTATTATTATTTTTAATTTTATTAAAATTAATCTTACCATTCCTCTAAATGAATTTAAACGATTTGCTAATTGCACTCAAAGAACCGATATTATCTTCTTTTTTTTTTTAATTTTCCTTCCCCAATGCTTATTAAAATTATTGCAGTCTTTTAAGTATTAACCGTTTAACGACCATTGACCATTATTCGTTTGTATCAGGAAATCTTAAAACAGCGTTTTAAAACAATCACTGGGCTGTAACAGCACAAACAGAAAAAGGAGCCCTTTCCGACACATCTAATTTTAAGTTGTTTCACTACAGGATCCGGCGGGCCCAGGCATGTTCCTACAGCTGTCTTCGAATTTCGTGTCGGGAAACAAATCACACCCTTAGCTTAAACTTAAGCTCTGTAAGGTGTTTGGGATCACAGAAAAACGCGTTTTTCATCCTTGAAAAACCCTCTCTCAAAATCTTCCAATTCATAGGGTTCTCATCAATTCACCATTCCGGCAATTGTTTGGGTTTGAACCGATACGGATCGGGCATAGAACCGGAAGATGATAGACAAGTGTTTAGGAGCTCAAAGATCTAGAAAGATCCAGAAAGCTCTCCGTCACTGCAAGGTCACGATCCTCTGCCTCGTTCTCACCATTGTCGTCCTACGCGGCACTATCGGAGCTGGAAAATTTGGAACTCCGGAGCAAGACTTCGTCGAGATCCGCGACCACTTCTATTCCCGTAAACACGCTGAGCCGCATCGCGTCCTTGAAGAAGTCCAAACGACGTCATCCAATGACCGCGCAGCTATCGACACCAACAATTACAACGAATTCGACATAAATAAGATCTTAATCGATGAGGAATCCGACGACTCGAAACCTGACTCCAACAAGGCCTGTTCTCTCGGGCCCAAAATCTCCGATTGGGATGATCAACGATCTAGATGGCTGAAAGAAAACCCTAATTACCCAAATTTCATCGGTCCAAACAAACCAAGGGTCCTCTTAGTCACTGGTTCATCTCCAAAACCGTGTGAGAACCCGGTTGGTGATCATTACTTATTGAAATCGATTAAGAACAAGATCGATTACTGTAGATTACACGGGATAGAGATATTTTACAACATGGCGCTTTTAGATGCGGAAATGGCAGGGTTTTGGGCTAAATTACCGTTGATTCGAAAACTTTTGCTTTCGCATCCGGAGGTGGAATTCCTCTGGTGGATGGATAGTGACGCAATGTTTACGGATATGGCATTTGAGGTTCCTTGGGAAAGGTATAAAGACTCGAACTTGGTTATGCACGGCTGGAATGAGATGGTTTATGATCAAAAGAATTGGATTGGGCTAAATACTGGGAGTTTTTTGTTAAGGAATGGGCAATGGGCACTTGATATTCTCGATGCTTGGGCTCCAATGGGTCCTAAAGGGAAGATTAGGGAAGAAGCAGGGAAGGTTTTGACGAGGGAACTTAAGGATAGACCCGTTTTCGAAGCGGATGATCAGTCTGCAATGGTTTATTTGTTGGCTACTCAAAGGGCGAAGTGGGGTAATAAGGTTTACTTAGAGAGTGCTTATTATTTGCACGGTTATTGGGGGATTTTGGTTGATAGGTATGAGGAAATGATTGAGAATTATCGTCCGGGTTTAGGTGATCATCGTTGGCCTTTGGTGACTCACTTTGTGGGGTGTAAGCCTTGTGGGAAATTCGGGGATTACCCTGTTGAGAGGTGCTTGAAGCAGATGGATAGAGCATTCAATTTTGGGGATAATCAGATTCTTCAGATTTATGGGTTCACTCACAAGTCTTTGGCTAGTAGAAGGGTTAAGAGAGTTCGAAATGAGACTGTTAATCCGCTTGAGGTGAAAGATGAACTTGGACTGCTTCATCCAGCCTTTAAAGCGGTCAAGGTATCCTCTTCTTGATGATATACGCTGTCTATAAGATCTTATGCCGCTAAATGATAAGTTACGATGTTCAAATGTTGAGTGTGTAGTGGGAATTTTATGCTTTAGGCTTGTATAGATGGTATTCTTTTGTTCCTTATCTGTGTTTAAAATAAAAAGTTCTTAATGCTTTCCATAGAAAAACAGAGCCCATTATTTTATCTGCGGCTATTCAGTTTTGTAGCACATCAGCAAACTTGGATCTGTCATTACCACTTGGATTTGTTAGCCATAAAGTTGCTGCATTGTAATTCAATCAGTCAGATAAATACTAATACAAGTATAATATTGCTGCATCATACATCAGTTATGTTTATTGTTGTCTGTAGCTGGTATAAATATAATTACTTATTGATAGGGTAATGAAGTGAAACAATGGTGACTCCTGGTACTCCATTCTTTAGAACCAATATCCTTGCTCTTTATCAATCTCTTCTTTCTTTGTTTTGGACTATTGAGGTTAAGAATGAAGATGAAATATAGAAGACGATGATGAGTCCACAGAATTAGAGGAAGGGCGCTGTAGTTCTCCTCTTTTTATCTTTTTAACTGTTAATACTAATGGACCACGTAATTATAGTAAAAACAAAAATATATAGGAAGATGTATAGTTCAAAGTATTGAAAGATAAAAAGATAGAAGTCGGGGAACTGCAGGAGGCAAACATCTTCACTCCTGTTTCTCAATGGACTCATCACCATCGTTTTCTCACTTTTCTTCCTCTTCTTCCCTAAGGCCTAACCTTTACCTGATCATAACAGCATTAGCCTTACCGGACATGTCCCTTGTAATGTTTTTTATCTGCTTCTCCTTATTCTCGTTCTCGTTATCAAGCCGCTTTTATAATGATAGAGCAATCTCCTTTGCTATTAAAATTAATCTACCTTGTCAGATGCTTGCTTTGTATTAATTTGATGCTCTACTATGATGCATTTGGGACACAAATGAAAACTTAAAAGGTCCAGTCAAGATTATAAATATGTGATACTCATGAGTTACGGTTCGGGGATGCTATCGTCCAAGTTGTCACGTTTTTTTGTATTTTTTATTTCCAATATGGTGGTATTTAAATTGATCCTCATATTACCACATAGGATTTCCAGCCTCATGTCCTAGCTACAGCATACCTCGTTTTAATGGAGCCTTACATGGATAATTATCTAATGCCATAGAAAGTTCTGATGATATTTCTAGCAGAAACTGGCATATATTTACGTAGTTTTATCTCTGTTCTGTGGGTCAATGGTTCGTCTTATGTTGTGTGCTGTTTCTGGGTCATGCACAAGTTCGGTGTAGAATTAATATGGTTTCTGTTGAAAGATGAAATAATTTTAATTTCAAATATTCTGCTATAACTCGGAGCATATAGGGTAATGAGAAGACCGGAGTTGTCGATAGACAATGAAAGGTCATTTTTAACCCAAGTTTTCTTCATATTGCTGAAACCAACTAGATAGAGAAAAATAATTATTGGCCGAAAATGGTCGATAATGGAGCAAATTGCGGCAGGGACAAATTCCATGCTCAGGTTCTCTGTTCGGGAAAGATTATGTAAAATATTGAGTGCAAACCTGTTGGATTCATGTTCGAACAACGAAAAAGCTACAGGAAAATTGAATATAAATAAAAATGAATAAAACATTAACTCGTACGTAGCAACAGATAATTCATCTGGACATGTATTTCTTTTTGGCGAATCTACTAAACGAATGAGCAACTTGATGGTGACAATTGACACGACGTTCAGAAGACTTAAAAACCCCCTGATCACAAAAGGGAAAAGAAAAAGCCAAAATGCCAACTCCTAATTTTTTGAGGGTACTGTAAAATAACATTACTAGATAACAATAAGAGCTTGTGCTATGTTTCAAAGGAAAACAAGCTTCAGATTTACAATGGCCAAGAACGCAGCCCATGCCAAACAAGGCTTAACCAAGCCACCAGCTATCGGATTCACCTCTCTGAAATCCCTTGAACACCCAACCAGAGCACCAAACAACGCCAAACACGCAACCAACCCCGACCCAACTGGCTCCCATCCACAACACAATCGGAAGCCAAGCCAAGCTCAAACCTAGCTGAGCCAAAGAAAGAGAAAAAGCAGTTGGTCTCTCGTGGAACCCGTCTTCAGCCCAAACAAGCCAAGCTGAGAGACCCATTACGAAGCTCGAAGCCATGCAAGTTATATGTATAAGCCACAAAGGAGGGAAACAGAACGGTTTTGCTAGAGTACCGTAACTATGACCTGAACCAAACAAGTAGATGTTTAACAAGGAGAGAGAAAGAAGGAATGAAACTGCTATGGCTAGCGATCTTAGGCCGTGTTTGGCCATAGCCATTCTCTTTCTCACCTGCTTGCTCGATTTTTTTCGTTGTTTTGATCCTTATCCTTGGTGGTGGTGGTAAGGGTAATGCCAGGGTCATCTCTGAAAATTGATTGAGGTTTTGGGATTCCATAGAAGAGAGAGGGAAAAATGGAGCCTGAGTTTACGATAAGGGAGGAACTTCAGGTGGTGTTGATAGAGAGGAGAGCGCGTTTTCGGGGCTAAATTTATTTGAAAGGTGGGAAAAGAGTGACAGGTGGGCAGAGAAAGTGTTAAGGAGTGGACATTGGACAAGGGGTGTCACAAGTGGATGAGAAAGGCGGCCTTTCGTTTCGGGGCGGCTTTATTCTCAGCAATCTGGGTGTTCTATTGTTCTAGTGCTTTTGGGAAGACAAAACTTTGATCTATTTGTAACTGGATAAGATCTGTTTTACCAAAAATAGAAAAAAGAATGAACTGGACTAAGTTCTTATGCTCCCTCGTTTCGCAGTCTTTTTTTCTTTTTTTTTGGTGGGGGGGGGGGTTTGATTTGTTGGTTCCGGTTTGTTTTGCCGCACAGTTGTCAAACTTTGGTTGATATAATCATATGAAATAACGAGCCTTTATTAATTCTTTTACTTCAGCTGGTTCAGGCAGCCTGGCCGGAAAAAAGAACCAGCACATTGACAGGGTTCAGGCCTCAATTGCATAGGAAAAAAAATACTTTCTTTTCTTTATCGGGTATAAATGTTCTTTTTTTAATAGTTTTAGTGATTTCCATTCTTTTAAATGTAGGCTTAAGTCTGAAAATCGATATACGTATAAATGGAATATTTTGTTAAAAAAAAGATTGCTAATTGAATAAAAAAGAAAAATAAAAACTGACAAAATTTGGGCCCGTCTTTTCATTTAGCCGAACGCAGCTCAACCTAACGTTGGACTTGGGCTTCGTCGAACCATCAAACGAGACCATTACAGGTCCGCATGCGGCAGCAGAACTAATCGAACGGTCCACAACCAAACTAATTTTTGTCGAAAACACTTTCTTGACCGTTCGTTTCCTCCGCTTGGTTCCCTAGGGTCTTGTTTCCCTAGACTGCAAACTCCAATCTCTTTCTCCTCGATCAAAGTACTGGCAAAGACAACTTCAACACAAAAGAAAAATCCATGGCAGTGAAAAGTTCAGCTTCCGCTCATGCCAAACGCTCTCGGAGAAAAGATGATGGTGCTTCTTCTTTGATCCCCAAACTTCTCAAGAACCCAAAGACGGCAATGGCTTTGGCTTTACTCTTCATTGACTCCCTCCTCATCTCCTTCATCATCGCCTACGTCCCTTGTAAGATCCCGAAAATCCCGCTCTTACTTTTTTTTCAGTGAATAATTGAACTCTTTAGTGACATGTCAACGTTGTAATTTACAGATACGAAGATAGATTGGGACGCTTACATGTCTCAGGTGTGGCATTTTTATGCTAATAAAGCTAATTTATTTTTCTGGGTTGGCTCAGTTATTAGTTTTTAATTAATGGGATAATGTAGAATTAGTGTTTATTAAGATGACAGGTAAGTGGGTTTCTTGGAGGAGAAAGGGATTACAAGAACTTGAAAGGAGACACTGGTCCACTTGTCTACCCAGCTGGTTTCCTTTATGTTTATTCTGCTATTCGTTATATTACGGGAGGACAGGTTTTTCCAGCTCAGGTGATAGTACTAGGCAAATTGAATTTTCTTCTCTCTTATTTGTGCTTATGTAAACCAGTTACTTATGCTCCCCCCCCCCCCCCCTTTTGTGTTGTTGGTTGCAGATATTGTTTGGGATTTTATACATCATAAACCTGGGAATCGTCTTATTAATCTATTTAAAGACTAATGTGGTATGAAATTTGTGTTTTATTGGTTTTGTAACTAATATTCGCGTATAATATATACTGTCACCACCTTTTTGTTTCTGCTGTAGTTAGGCGTGTTGGTATGTTAAATTGCGTAGAATTATTCAAAATCCTACTTTTTTTTTGGCCAAATTCAAAATCCTATTTTACTTGCCTATAAGGTAGAATGTACTTTTAAAGTTCTAAAATAGATGTCTTTATTCTGAATGCTGGAAACTTGGTAATTTGTTTGCTTGGTTTCCATTATGCAACTCCATTATCATTTCACCATTCCTTAAGCACCATAAATTTTGTATCTTCATTCCTCAGAAACCATCAAATATCTGGAAAAAGAAAATGTTCTTGACTGTTAATGTTTCCTTAAATTTGTCTTGGGTTTTGACATTACCATTTATTTTTCTTAAAATGCCTTGCAGCTTCCGTGGTGGGCTCTGAGCTTGATTTGTCTCTCAAAGAGAGTTCACTCAATATTTGTTCTTCGTTTGTTTAATGACTGTTTTGCAATGACACTCCTCCACGCTGCAGTGGCATCCATTCTGCATCAAAGGTGGCATTTGGGATTGATTATTTTTAGGTGATATGCTCTCTTTATTAGTACCATTTTTCTTTTAAAAAGGAAAAGAAAAAAAGTCGTTTCAACTTTCCCTCTTTTTATGTGTAGTGCTGCAGTTTCAATAAAGATGAATGTCCTTCTCTATGCTCCACCTCTTTTTATACTCATGCTAAAGGTGCATTAAATTCTGCTTGATGACATTTTCCTAGTAATTAGCAACTGGGTCATTTATTACGCTCAATCAGCTGCATCTTTCTTTGGTATCACTTCTTATAACAGGCTATGAATATCAGTGGGGTAATATCAGCTTTAGCTGGCGCGGCACTTGTGCAGGTGTGTCAGCTATTTCTTTTTGGCCTTTGAGGACTCATTATCAACATTTTTAAATTTCCTGATAATTGAAATTTCTATTTCTAAATCCTTGCTTTACAGATTAAATTCTTTTCCTTTCTTAATGTGGGAAGTAAATATAAATCATCATCCATTTTAACTTACTTTCAATGTGGTTAGGTGAGTTGGACTACTGCTCTTAATGTTGTGACAGGAGGCATTGTCTGCCAATGTGTTGATTCATTTCTACATACTCAATAAATGGTTCTTCAGATTGTGCTGGGGCTGCCATTTTTAGTATCATATCCAACTGCATATATATCGTGCGCCTTTAATCTTGGACGTGTCTTCATCCACTTCTGGTAATTTTATAGTATAGAAAATGTTCACCCTTCTCCTTAGTTGCCAGTTACTACCAAATTGACAGGATTAATCAGTAGCATCTTTACTTGATGGTGGTAAATGAAAATATTGTTTAGGTAATTTTTCTTCGATTATTGATATTTCAAGAAATATTAGCTTGATAGTGCATCAACTGGATTACACAATGGATTGTTAGATCAAAATCTGATTTGAAAGAATTCTAAAGTTGAGAAAAGTTTGTTGTTTTGCCTTCTTATAAATCTATTAATTGTGAATCCTTCTGCAAATTCAATGAACTTAAAATTTAAGATCAGTTGTGTAAAAGCTCTCAGTGGTGCATATGTTATAATTTTCATGTTATTACCTGCCTTTGAGGGTATTAATTATTTGTTTTGAGTAGTTCAGAATATTTACATAAACCTGTCTCCGAAAAATATTGCTTGCCATAAAATATACTGAAGCTCATAATCAGTTTCTGTTTGGTAAAGCTGTATAGATTTTAGGGGTTAGTGGACACTATTCTTCAGTAATTTTTTGAAGTTAATTTTGAAGGGATAAAGGTCCACGATTATATTTTTAAGAGGTTGTACCCATGAGCCTGCTTGTCATTTTGTATGTGGGAGTGGTTTGTTGGGAATAGGGCTGTAGTTCATTGTTTTGCAGACTATGCTTTTATGTAGTTTACTTGCACAATAATGGGTGTTGTTGAGGTCTAACTTTGATTTTTATTCTGTGGCTAGGTCTGTTAACTTCAAGTTCATTCCTGAACCAATTTTTGTGTCAAAGGAATTTGCAGTCTCTTTGCTGATTGCTCACCTTTTATTGCTCTCTGTATTTGCTCATTATAAATGGTGCAAGTAAGTGAAACTGCTTATATTCTCTTAGTAATAAGCAATGAGTATGTGATCGCAAGAGTTTTTTTTTTTTTTTTCTTTTTTTAGGGAAAATGCAATATTTCCCTCATGTTAGATAACCGAGGTATTATATGACACAGACCCCAATAGATAATCCATTAAGAGAATATTTGTAGATCAATGGTTTTGTTGCTCTGGATGTTTGTGATACTTACGGGAAAATGCCTAGTTTTAGCCTTTTAGGCGATATTCTTGCCATGTAACTGGTGATAAGCATGTTGATTGCTCTTATATCTGGTTTGCAGACATGAAGGTGGGCTTTTTAATTTTTTTTGTTCGAGGATTAGGACTTGTTTATCAACATCTATGAGTTCATGGCCAAAAATCCTCAAGAAAGAACGTAAGTTGTGATCCTTCCATGAATTTTATGAGAGAATCCCTTCATTCCTTCTCTTCCTCTTCATTGGCATGCTAAATTTGGTGGAAATAAATCCAGATATTGCGACAACCATGTTTGCTGGAAACTTTATTGGCATTGTATGTGCCCGCTCATTGCATTATCAATTCTACTCGTGGTGAGTGTCATGCTTGTACAAATGCCTTGTTATTCATAGTAGGTTGTCTAACCTTGTCATTTGCAAGGAAAAAATGTTTCTTTGATGCCTCCTATGATGCTGCAAATTATGGATTATCTAGATGACTACTTTTCCGGTTTGTCTATATTTGATTCCTGCCGTACAAAAGGTTTTAGAAGGAATCAGACCTTTTCAGATCTCTCTATGGTTTATAATTTAATTTTAGAGAAAAAAGTTCAAGAGTTTCATCTGTTCCTGACTAGGGTCTCTGGGTGCAGGTATTTCTATAGCTTGCCTTACCTGTTGTGGAGAACACCTTTCCCTACATTGCTTCGGTAACTTCTTCACTAAAGGTCTTGAATAAATTTGGAGCTGTCGTTTCCTTACAATATTCATGAATTTTTTTTTACTAAACTTTTTCTTTGTACAGTGTGCTTTTGTTCGTAGGAGTGGAGCTCTGCTGGAATGTCTATCCGTCAAACTTTTATTCATCTGCTCTACTCCTTTGTCTTCACTTATTTATACTGTGGGGTTTATGGTCTTCTACTCCTGAAAATCCTTATGCAAGTGATAAATCGCTTAGCAGAAAAGAAAATTGAAATGCCCAGTATTTTCATTTTTGCCTTTACCGGTGAAAATTATGTACTGATCTTCTAGATGTAATCCAATTACACCTCAAATCAAGTTAGTTCTCTACATATTTATACACGGGGAGAATCTGGCTAACTTGCTTAAACGCCTTTTTGAGATATAGTAGAATGAGCTTAGTTGCATTTACCTGTTAATTTTTTTTTTCTCTTGGTAATTCTATGAACTTATTGTAATTCTTGCTCTGAACTCTATTGATTTTACCATTTGATTTGCCATTCAAATTTTGTATTAACTATTCCAGTGCTCATACATATACACCAATACTGTAATTCTCATAATAAAGACCAAGTTGATGACCAAGCTGATAGATGATTCACAGATATTAAGAATGACATCAGTCCAACAGCGGATAACGTTTCTTATTTTCACATTATTTACCTTGTTTCTTTTCCTTTCTATCCTCACCTGCGCAATTTTTTCGAGTGAATACCAGTACATGGAGCTAGCAACATAGGAAGTAGTCAAAGTACTTGGCAAGTTTGTGAAAGAAGTTGAACATAACAAATTCACAGTCTTACTGAATCCACTCTGGAGAGGACAAGGGAGCTACTCTTTTGGTGCCGTTCATTATTTAATCCTAGCAAAGCAATTGAGATACATTGATAAATGATAATTCTTGCTTTATCCTGCTATCTATCACCTCTCTTACCAACAGCTTTAAGTGTTTATCAACATCACCACTAGACAATTACAGTGACAGAAAGCTCCAGCTGACAATCAACAAGTTTCACTTGCAGATATTTTGATTTGTCCACGCAGGCAGCAACCCTGTGAATGTCGAAATCTAAAATAATTGCACGTCTAGATAGAAATTTTTATGATTGGAGTCAAGCTCTCGAAAACCAGGTTAGTCAGTGCAATTTCCACGAGCCCACAACATCATGTACTGGACATGTTACCTCCCTTATGTCCCACATTCAAAGTTTGCAAACGGAGCGAGAAAGAATTAGCAACAAGTGAAAGCTACAGTCCTAAACGTGATGGCAAATTGGATGAGTAGATGGAACTATCAAAAAACCAAAGCGATGGCAAGCTAGTCGACCTGGCACAGCTTTCTCAAGGTTATGGAAATTCTCCTATCCTGAATTAATTCTTGCCCTTCCCATATCTGAATCCCAGGCTTGCGGTTTATCTCATGTTTCCAGATGTAGCGAGCTTCTCCTGACATTAGAACCAGAGATCCTGGAGTCAAGAGAACGGGAATCTTTCTTATAAGTGGAAGCCTTTCACCATGCTCAACAATATCAGAACCTCCTTCAACTCGGGTGAAATGCATCACACATGATGACTCTAAGGAGACAATGGCAATTCCATCTTCAAAACGCATGAGGTCAACATGTGCACAGATTCCCTGCAAAATAAGCAGTTAAAAATTTCGTGCAGTTGATATTCCTTGATTCTGGAACAACATAAACAAGTCTAAAATGTGATTTCGCACCTCACCTGGATGGTATACATTTACAATTAGTTGATCAAATAGAGGTTCTCTCCACAATAAATTTGATGGTAATAGACAGGGTTTGGTTCCCTGGTTAGAGCTAGCCAAGTCTGTGGATTCAGATACATGATCACCAAGAAGCACTGCTTCACGTATAGAGTTAGAAAGTTCAGTAGCCCATGCTGGGAGATGTCCAAATCTCATGGCCTGAAGAATGCATAATTAGAACATAAATTCTGGAGAAAGTAAAAGCACAATACAGAAAACTTTGAAGATTTAGGAGTGTGTCCAGAATTGGCTTAGATAACTAGTCAAAAAATAGTTTTAACACAAATTTGATGCAAAAACAAATCTAGTAGTAAGAGAAATTGTCTCAAATAATCTATTTTGATCATGGATAATGACCATCCTAGCATCCCACCAAAATTCTGCAGACTGAAGTTCATGAATCTCTATCTAGTTGAACATTCAAATGCTGCAAGTTCATCTTCTAACGCTAAAAGGTGCTTAAAGTCAGACAATAAAGACCAAGATAAAATAGATGATAGCAGCTAAAGATATGTTTTTCTCATAGAAAATGTCCACGGACCTGATTGTGAGAATCTTCAGTGAACCACCCCTCTGCGACAAAACCCATCATACATCAGCAAAAGAGATTTAAACTTCAATTCTCTTCAAACATCTAAGTTTCTGCTTATTGGTCAAGACTCGAGACATGTAAAAAGACAGGGATAAAGAAACGTACCGTTTAGCACGGCGGAAATCAGTGAAGATTGATGTTGAGGAGAAAGGAAGTCTCTGCACAGCCATAATCCATTAATTTCCTTGATCTGTTCCCAGGATGGAATTAGGTATCTGCTTTGCTTAAGTTCTGGTTGTGAATCATTGTCTTCGCTGTCTGAGGATTCACCAAATACTTCCCTGAAAAGTTCCTTGTGATTCTCCTCCATCTTCAAAAACTTGCCTACAAAGTGGGCTTCAGCTTTGCCTTTAATAGCTCTTATGGGCTTCAGCTTTGCTGCCCGAATCCGTATAGAAGTTTGGAACTTGGAAGTGTTAATACTTTGGACCGTTGTAAAAAAAAAAAAAAATTCAATAACAAAATGAAACTTCGAGATAAACCGTTTATTTATATTATATAAAATATTAATAATTTATATATTTATATCATATTTTATATAAAAATTATGTATCACATTTTTTGTTGATATAATAATATAATATTTTTAATTTTATTAATTTTATTTATATTTTTTATTAAAATTTTAAATTATATTATTTTTATATATTTTATTCATATCGATTTTATATTGTATCAAAATATTATATTTTAAATTTTCTACTCAAAAGTTAATTTGGGCAAAGAGATCCCTTGATTTTTTTAATTTGGGAAAAATAGATTAGAAAATCAGCTTTTATTTCTTTCTACAAAAAATCCCACTTTTTGATAAAAAAATATGTAAATTTATCATTAAATTAAGTGTTCATAACTTTGATTTTCTTTTTCTTTTAAGTTTTTTTATTGTGTCTTTTTCTTGAGATTTAATTACGCTAACAAAGCCAAATAAAAAAAAAAAAGCTAAAAAAACCAAACCTTACATAACAACAATGTCAACTAAAAACCATGATACTCCATCTAATAAATCTTAAGTCCATTGGGGTTTTATTTTTTAGTCACAAGTGCGAGTATTAGTCTTAAAACTCAACGGTTTGGAAGTTTCCTCTAAGACATATTATCTATTTATCAGCAATAACGTAAAAAGCAGTCAAGAGACCGTGAGAATGAACAGACAATGACATAGCATCAACTTGATATTTGTGTCAATCAGGTCCATAGACATCCGTGCAATGCACAAAATGCTATCTCTGACACGTGAAGTCAGAAAAACTTATCTCGTTTTGCCACTTGTCACTCATTCACGGCATCAAAAGCCACTTGTGAAAAACTTTCAAACTTTCTCTCAATGGGCCGTCACAACCATTCGCCATGCCTAATTGTTGAAAGTAAAACCTAGGACAGGGGAATCGCTATAAAACGGGAGTTGTTACAACGCTCTGTTTCGTCCCTTCCGTTTTATTCGAAGAAGCTCGATTACATCTCTCTCAACTCTGTTCGTTTTCAAGTAGGAGACTCAAAATCGTGAAATCAATGGCCGAATCGGATCCCAAGCAGTCAACAGAGACTGTAAGCATTTCATATCTTAATTAGTACCATGTTTTATCAGTACTATGTATTTTCATTCTTTTGGATTGATGAGTTTAATTTTCTTTTTCCTTATTTTTTCTTTTTTGATGAATGAGGAAGATCGAAGAAAATAAGAAGCAACTCAAGTATCTAGATTTCGTTCTACTGGCGATGGTATATGTAGTTGTATTCTTATCTAGCATCTACAAGTACGCCAAGGAAAACTCCGGTCCACTTAAGCCAGTGGTCCAAGCCATCGGAGGAACTGCCAAGACCGTCATTGGCCCCATTTACGACAAATTCCATGATGTTCCGTTCGAACTCCTAAAGTTTGTCGATCGAAAGGTCAGTACTCAGCACTCGCTTTATTATGGGAACGTGACTTTTTGGGGCCGTTTAGTTAAGGAATCAAAATTCTTTAATATATTAGCAGAAATAGCAAATTGATTTTCTGAAAAAAAAAAAAGCAAATTGATGAGATTCTTGATGGTCACGTGGTGTGCAGGTAGACGAGTCCTTGAGTGAGTTGGACCGTCACATGCCGTCTCTCGTAAAGCAGGCTTCCAGCCAGGTTCGAGCCATGGCTTATGAAATCCAACGAGCCGGCGTTTTCGACACGGCTAAGACCATCACGAGGACCGTTTTCACCAACTACGAACCGACGGCTAAGGAGTTGTATTGCAAAAACGAGCCGGTAGCGGGACAGTACGCTGTTTCGGCTTGGCATTCGCTTAACCGTCTCCCGCTTTTCCCTCATGTGGCTCAGATTGTGGTTTCCACGGCAGCTTACTGGTCGGAGAAGTACAATCAAGCTGTTATTTACTCTAGGGAGAAAGGATATGCAGTGACGTCGAACATTCCGTTGATTCCGATTGATAGAATCGCAAAAGTTTTCGAAGAGAGTGGAAGAGCCCCTGCCATTTCGACTAATGGGGGATCAGTTCTGACGCAGTGAAATAAGGGGGGTTTGGTTGGGTTTTTGGGATTTGCATTTTTGGGTTAATTATTTATTACTAATAAAAAAATCGTCTCCAGAAAATGGAGACATGGACTCCATCGTGGGACTTCAGCCTTCTTTGTTTTTCTCTTATTTTTGGGTTATTTTATTTTATTTTATTTTGTGATCATTTAAAAATAGATTATAAATAATAGAGTAGGAAATTTTATGATTGTTTGATGCCAGCACAAAGTTTACGAGTAAATTGATTGGATAAATGTTTTTAAGTGATTGTGATCTTTTTATTAAATTTTGAAATTCAAAACGATAAATTACAAATTTTATTGCATATATAAATGAAATATATATATAATTTAAATTTAAATATGCATTTAATATATTATTTATTTTAAATTTAATTTTTATTTTATATTAAAAAATTCACCTAAGTTTAAGGATAACGTAATAATGTACGTCAAAGGTACTTCTGTCACACTTTGAGTAGGCACACTAGGCACCCAAGCTCAAACATCAAGTATAGTTAAAAGGGTTAGCGTAATAAGCATGAAAGAAGTGTCCAAACTGCAACACAAGCATGATGGGTCATTGCAGTTATGTGTGGATAACAGGGAACTAAACAAGCTTACCATTAAGAACAAGTATCATATCCCATTCATTATGGACTTGTTTGATCAACTTGGAAGCTCTAAGTGGTTCACTAAGTTGGATTTGAGGTCAGGTTGTTATCAGGTCAGAATCGCAGAGATAGATAAGCCCAAGACAGTGTTTTCACCTATTATTGCTCTTATGAGTTTTTAATCATGTCATTCAGACTTACAAATGCCCTAACAACATTCTAAACGCTTATGAACAAGGTACTTCAGTTGTTCTTTGATCGTTTTGTTATGGTTTATCTTAATGACATTGTGATACACAGCTCGACATTAGAAGACCATGTAGACCACTTGAAACAGGTGTTCGAGGTGTTGTAGGCACATGAGCTATATGTGAAGAAGGATAAGTGTTTATTTGCCTAGTGAGAGGTACCATTTCTAGGCCATATAATGGGAAATGGCAAGAAATGCATGGATGCAAGCAAGGTGCATACCATTTTGGATTGGGAACTGCCAGCCAAGGTAACTGAGTTAAGGTCGTTCATTGGGCTAGTCAATTACTACTGGCACTTCATTAAAGGCCACTCAGCTATAGCGACACCATTGACAATTTTGCCCAAGAATGAGGAGAATGTGGGAGTAGAAGCACTGAGTGTCAGGATGCCTTTGATAAGTTGAAGCGGGCAGTGACCGAAAGCCAATGTTAGCCTTGCTAGACCATGCTAAGCCATATAAAGTGCATACAGATGTATTAGACTTTACGATAAGATGAGTGCTGATGTAAGAAGAACCATCTGATTGCATTTGAGAGTCGAAAGCTCAATGAGACTGAGCGCATGCATATGGTCCAATAAGGAGATGACAGCAATGGTGCACTGCTTGCACACTTGGCAGCATTACCTGTTGGGGTCAAGGTTCATGGTCATAACAGCCAATATGACAACCAGCTACTTCTAGACGTATAAAAAAGATGTCCCCCAAACAAGCTTATTAGCAAGATTTTCTTATGAAATTTGATTATAAGTTGGAGTACAAGCTAGAGTGGGCAAACACAGTGGCTGATGCCCTAAGCAGAAAGGTAAACCTTGCTGCCATTACCCAACCAAAAAGGCCTTTGGTGCTACGTATCAGAAAGGGGCTCACGTATGATCCTACAACCAAGGCTTTTATCCAGTATGTCAAGCAAGGTAAAATTAAGTGGTTTTGGTTACAAAATGACTTATTGTACACCAAGGGCAGTAAGTTATTTATGTTACAGCATGGAAAGCTCCATAAGGAAGTTTTATAAGAGTGTCATGATTCTAGGTGGGCTGATCACCTAAGGGTGAATCGCACCTTAGCCTTGCTATAGGATCGATACTACTAGCCACACATGAGGGACGATGTGGAGGCCTATGTAAATACTTATCTTGTATGCCAACAGAACAAGGTAGAGCTGAAAAAACCAAGAGGTTTTTTTGAGCCATTGTCAATACCAAAGCGACCGTGGAATAGCATCACTCTAGACTTCATAATCACTCTACCGAAAGTAGAAGGGTTCGAGAGCATCATGGTAGTGGTGGACAGGTTTTTCGAGTATGAGTTTTTCATTTCAGCAACCAATAAATGCCCAGTCAATGAGGTAACTCGTTTGTTCCTGAAGAACATAGTAAAGTACTTGGGAGTATCGAATACCATTGTTAGTGATTGGGATGGCATTTTACAAAACGATAATGGACTGAGTTGTTCAAGTTGTTAAGGTTAAACTTGAATTTTTTCACTAGCATACATCTGCAAATTGACAAGCACATTAAGTGAGTGAATAGCCTGTTTGAGGTATACCTTGGACACTATGTGAGTGCCATGCAAAAGGATTGACCAAAGCTGTTAGATGTCACCCAGTTTTCCTACAACTTGTAGAAGAGTGAAGCAATAAACCATAGTCATTTTGATATTGTAATAGGTTAACAATCGCTAACACTCGGTTCGATTACTACAGGTTATATAAAGCCCAATCTAGAAGCATACAATTTTGTTAAAGCTTGGCAGGAATAAGCCAACTTGACCAGAGTATGTCTACACAAAGTCGCAGAAAGGTCAAAGAAGTAGACAGACCAAAACATGAGAGACGTGCAGTTTCAAGTAGGGGACTTGGTTTTGGTGAAGCTGTACCCCATTGTGAGCCATAAAAGGTTGCATAAAGGTTTAGTTTAGAGGTATAATAGACCTTTCAGAGTTTTTAATAGGGTAAGCAAGGTTGCCTACAAGTTGGATATGTCACCCAAGCTAAGGGTACACTTGGTGTTTCACGTTAGCATGCTTAAGCCATTTCATGTGGTTGAGGGGGATCCAAGATCGGTAGAGTCGAAGCGTACACCATTGGGAGCTAGGGCCTTATATAAAAAAGGGTTCACAGCATTCTTGCTAATCGATAGGTGAAACGGAATAACTACTAGCCAAGATAAAAGTACATGATACGATATAAGGGACTTTCAGACAATGAAACAAGCTGGGAGTCAATGGAAGACTTATAGTAGTTTCAAGATCAGATCAGGCAGTTTCACATAATAGACACAACAAGGGTGTCGCGCAATCAAATAAAAAATAATGTCACGCCTTGAGTAGATGCATCAGGCGCCCAGGCCCGAGCAACAAAGGCCAAAGCTTGAGCACTAGGGATAGTTGCGAGGGTTGGCGTAATAAGCATGAAAAAAGTGTCCAAATCGCACGTATAACATGCAGACCTGTCCACATAGCTAAAACTAGGTTAGCAACATGCTCGCACTACACCTAGATGAACCTAGGGGAGTCTGGTCGATCTAGAATCTTTTAAAATCATCTAAGATCGACAACATTCAGTAAAAGAATCTGGTTGACTCTGAAATTAATATGAGTTTTATGTAATTTATGTAATAATATATAACCCTTGATTTTTAGGAATCTTATAAATCTCTTGATTTTAAGAGATAACCATAAGTAGAATGGAGGCTTCAACTATAAATAGAGGATTAGCCCACCCTCAATTGTATATTATCACATCATCAGACACGTTTGTTTCAATAATACACAGAGTATATTCTAACATTTTATTATGTTTTCTAATTTGTATATTTTACTTTTTCTTGTTATTGTTTGCCCGTCATGCTAGTTGCTTTAGTTGCTTAGGTTGAATTTAAGCATACGAAATTAATTTCAAATTTTAAGACCGCACGGATTCAAGTTTAATTCCAGAACCCATGGCACTTCTACTAAAGATATCATAATCAATTATTACATGTAGTACTCTTTGTGTGGTTCATGAAACAAATTAAAATTCTCATAAATACAATTTAAGAAGAAAGATGTAAAATACCATAATTCAATCGAAAGAACAATATCTGAAATTATTTATTTATTTATTATTATTATTATATCTTTTTCCTTTCGGGGACTGCAACTTGCAGGACCACAGACCACAGCCCACTGCCCACTGCCCACTGCCCACAGCTGGAGGTTTCGCTTGATCCGCATTCTGGACTTTATCCAATGCACTTCAATTTTTCGGCTGTATTTGATTTCGAGCCTGCCGTCGCATTGGCAAACCAAACCCCACCCATATGTTAAAAGTTGCCAAATCAGGATCATTCCCCCATCCCCGTGTGACCACGTCAAGTAGTACTTCTAGTAATTTTCCTTTCCCTTTCAACTACATAGGCTATAACCCAACACCATCCTCTGACCAACCAAACACTTTAAAGTTAAAAGTCCATTCTATTTTGTTTCAAACCAAACCCCCCTTGTTTAGAATCCGAGCAGCAAAAAAAGTATCTTTGCCTAAATCCAATCCCACCCTTTTATATTGACTTAAATCGTTGGCCAACACATGCTGACACCGATAAAGCAAGTTGGCCATAGTTTGGGTTTCAACTGTCGCTTTGCAATGGTTAAAATAAACCACATTTGGTGAGAGATTTTAATTGACTTCCTTTTTTAATTAGTCTTCGTTTTAATTAATGTCTACAAAAGTGTTGATTTTTAGTATTTCTTTTGCAATGAAATAAAATCCTAATCAATCCATGCTTGATTGAACCTGCCTGATTATTCCTTTTTCCCCACTTTCTAGGGTCCATGTGATCATCTCCTTTTCACACAATGAACCCAAAATTATATATTTAAAAAAGATAAAACATAAGCTTAATCCACAATGTCCCCTGCTGGCAGACGAAAATTTTTAATTAAAAATTTAATATTTTATTATAATAAATTAAATCTTTCTAATCAATAAATTTTTAATTCTTAAAATATTATTTTTATCTAATTAAACTTTTTAAGTATTATTTGAATTTAATTAAATATTTTTTTTAACAAATTTTACTGACTCTCATGCAAAATAAGAACTTAATTAATCTAAAATAATACTTTTGTGGCAACATGAAAAATACTTTGAGACTCAATTGAGTATAATAGAAGAGTAAAAATTTATTTGAGAAATTTTCATAACTGCTTATTATTAATTTAATTTGGTAATTTTTATATTTAATCATGTTTATTTTATGTTAAATATGTATAAAATATTAAAATTATTATATAATAATTTATATTAATATGTCAAATGTAAATTTTT